ATTCTATTCTATTCTATTCTATTCTATTCTATTCTATTCTATTCTATTCTATTCTATTCTATAAATAATTTTATTCTATTATATGAAGAAGATATTCAAATGCTATGTCTATACCTTTATAAAAATTAGAATCATGCAAGTCCATGACATTCCTTATGACATTCTATATAAGTGAAAGCTGGACTTTGAAGAAGCAGGATAGGAAGAATATTGATATCTTTGAACTCTGATGTTGGAGAAAACGTCTGAGAATATTGTGGACAGCCAAGAAAAGAAACCAATGGCTCACTGAACAAATCAAGGTTCTAATGCTGGGAAAGGAGGAAACGGGGAAAGAGAAATGGGAGAAGGGGGAATATCATGAAGGAAAGGAAAGGAAAAGGAAAAGGAAAGGCCATCAGCATGGTTGATGGGGCTCAATTTCAGTGGTGGTGGGGGCATGCTGGGAGATCGGAAAGAATGGGTTAGATCAGTGGTCACCAACCAGTGGGCTGGGGACCACTGGTGGTCCGTGAGAAAATTTTGGTGGTCCAGAGAGAAATGTCAGCCCCAAAGCACCCGCCAAAGCTATTAATCCAGGATGCACGGGAACACAAGGCTGCACTGCCCACATGGCCTGCAGGAACACAAGGCTTGCGTCGCTTGCATTGTGAACAGCACGAGGTAGTGAGGGGAGCGGGGGAACTTGCCCCTCTCGCCTCATGCTCCTGGCCTGGCCACCAGGCTGCTTCTTTCCGCTTCTTCCTTCTTCTGCTTTTGGTTGCACACAAGGAAAGCAGAAAAAAATTTTCTTTCTCTCCCCCAAATTCCGCCAGAAATGAGTCTTTGGGACCCTGCAAGGCATCGCACTGCAAGAGGCTGCACTGGCAAAGACTCATTTCTGGAAGAGTTTGGGGGGAGAGAAAGACTTCTGCTGCTTCTGCTGCTTTCCTTGCATGAAGCCAAAAGTCTCTCTCTCCCCAAGAAAGGAGCTGGAGACGGAATCCTGTGATCCCAAATAAAGAATGATCAATCAGTAGGAAAACAGGGTGGGGAATTTTCCTGCAAACTTTTTGGGGGATTTTCCCAGGGTCTCTGGTCTGCGGGATTTAAAATTATGAGTTTGGTGGTCCCTGAGATCCAAAAGGTTGGCAACCCCTGGATTAGATTGTCATTAAAAAATCTGTGTGGTTGCTTGGAGTCAAAAGTAACTTGACAGTATATAATCAATCAATCACTTAAAAATCATGCACCTTCTAATTTAATGGACAATTGTGAATAAAACATCCTCCTTCCTACAAATGGTCCATTAAATTACAGTTTTACTGAACACTTATGATCAGGACCTAACATTTTTATAATAATCTTTAATTTAATTTAGTACTTTGTATATTCCTTTAGACATATCATTTTAACAAGCAAAATAGCTTACTGTATTAAATATTAGTATACAGTAACATGTATATATTAATACAAATACTACTACTACTACGAATATATACTATATATTAAATTGTATGGAATTGTACCTGAGTTTTTGGTTTGTATTTATCTACCCACGGTTCAGTTTGGCTGTGATTTTGTTTGAATTGTTTATATTTCTCATCTACAGAAATCGGTTTTCTTATTTTTCTCCCACACTTGTAATTTTCAAGCAGAGGAAAATGCTCTTTATTCTCATGATAATTGTCAGTGAGCGATTTTTTATGGAGAACACTGGATGACAGTTTTGCAGTCTCACAGAAATCAATGAAAGATGGTTCCACCCAGTCAATTTCCTGATAATATAAGCATATAGGAATTATTGCAGCCCAAAAATTATCAATTCTTAAACAAGTTAGTATTTTATTACTGTCTTTATATATAGTAACCAATATTTAGTAGTTAATAAAATATGAACTAACCTATCATAAAATATGTGTGCAATCATTTACTGAACATAAAACAATTTAAACATACATAAATCACTTCAAAACATTTATTAACATTTTGCCCATCTTTAATAGTTCTTACATTTCAACTTTGTTCAATATTAAAAAATTAGTGCAATTTTTAAACAGGCTGAATTCAATTTAAACAAACAAAAAATTGCCAGATTATTTTTCTCCACTCTCAGTAGTACATAATCTAGTCTTAATTAAAATTTTAGTTATAATGACTTCAAAATACTCCACTTGGCTATAAGAGTTTTGATATGCCTGCATCAGCCTGAATTAAACACATGATGCAATAAATAACAATTTTAGAGAATAAATAACATACTTTATTTGGCGCTGTCTTTCTTTTTGAAGATTTTTTTGACATCATCAGCCTTTGCAGTTTCCATCCAAAATGTATGATTAAATGCCTTTAAAAATAAAGTACCTAAAAAATAAAGAAACTTTTATATTAACAAAGTCTGCAGCCCTGAAGATAATTATTGAAAGAGAACTTACATTTGTTTTGTTTCTCATTTGTATAGCTTCTTTTTTCTTTTCTATATGCTGTTACTTTTTTAAAAAAAAGCTATTCTTAATGGCTACAGAAAAGGAATGCCAAAGTCAAAAGTCCCTGAAGTGCTGCCCCCTGTTGAAAAGAACGCACTTCTGCTTGACAAAGATACTGTAGTTCTAAAATTTTCAATGATAGCAATATCTGTTTAGTCCATAAACAGAATAATGTACATAACATTATACTATTACACATGCATCATAAGATAACCTGCATATTTAATTTTTCACAACGAATCTCTGTCTATGTGTACAATAATTTACACATATGAAATTACTCTGTGACATAAGCAAATGGAAATTGTATAATCTCCACTCTAATTCTAAATATACTTGAACTATTTCAGTTCAGAATATTCTCATTTAGTGACAATTGGATCAGCAACTCAGTTGTTAAGTGAAGCAGTCACTAAGTGAAACCACAATTGAGTTTACAATCTTACTTCAGTTTTTCTTTTGCTTTACAGACCTGTGTAGTAGTAGTTACAAAGCTACTTTTTATTACCACTGTAACTGCAACTGTTGCTATCTGAGATACTTGCTAAACAAGGACCATCTGTATATTAATCTATTTTTATTTTGAAGCTAATCAGCCAAGGGAATCCTAATCTAAACATGCTCCTAATCAGGATACATCATTGTAACCTATTTGATAAAACTATAAACTTCAAGCTTTTGATAAAAGTTCAAAAGCAGACTGACAATATATGTACAAAACTGGCTATTAGGCTTACTGTTAAAAACAGAGTAATGTCCTGATAATTCAAAAGTAAAACAGTCAAGACTTCATTACTCCTTACAGTGTCACCATTACTTATTTGTACACATAAAACTAATGAATAGCATACAAATAATTGTACAGTTCACCTGAGATACCAAGACAAAGTTTCTAACAATTTATATTACACATCTGAAATGACAAACACTTTCTCTGACAAACAGTGCACATAGTGTAGATTACGTGGATCATAATGGATTATGTTGAAGGGTTTCTATAAAGTTTTTCAAATTTTTCAACTTTTAAAATGTACTAACTTCCAATCCTAGAATTCCCCAGTCAGAAATCTGGGAGTTGGTCCACACACATCCTGACACACATCTTAAGATTGACAAGTTTGAAAACTAGTTGGGGTCCCCAAACTTTGCAGAGTTAAGACTTGTGGACTTCAATTCCCAGAATTCTCCAGACACCTATGCTGGCTGGAGAATTCTGGGAATTTTAAGTCCACAAGTATTAAAAGTTACCAAGTTTGGAGATCTCTGAGTTATATCTTCGGGAATCCGGCAAATGAAAAAAAATCATGCTTAACTGCATAAGAAACACGTATGCAATTAAAGGAGAAGCATTCAAAAGCAGCAACAAAAATTGAATACAGGTCACACGATACAAAACGATTTAACCAAGGGTCTCCAAATATTGATTCAACGGCTGCTCTTAAGACGACTGGTAGTACGTGTGTACTCTCCCCACCCCCTCTTTCTATGAAAAAGGCATGCGACAAGGGTTCATAAGGAACAGTCACGTATGTGGGATGGGCAGCAATATAAAATAAACAATCCAGCAAAGTGTGTGTGGGGGGAGGTTGGGAGGCTTTGTTATTCTATAGGGGACACCTCCAAGGTGGAAGAAGACTTCAGCCGCCATGCACTTTTGAAATAACTGTCCCGGCTGCGCTCAACTACGAAGCCCAGCTTCGTCCCCCCAAAACAGGCACCATTTAGCTCTTGCCAGGCTGCAGCCCACTTATTTCCGTCACTAAAAACCACACCCAGCCCTTCACACTCTTTCTCCCTACCCTCTCTCATCAGGCCAACTCCATGCCGATTGGGGCCTTTCATGCTCTTCGGCGCTTAGCTGTTCGCCGACCGCCTTAATAACGGCCCCTGCTTTGTCGCCTCTTTAGTCAGGCCCTGCGAGAAGGAGTAAATATGACCGAGAAAGATTCCGGGGAGCGGGGGAGAGAACCCTACATGGCTTTACCAGTCGCTGCTTTTCCACCCACCGTTGGACTTCAAAGAGGAAGGAGGGCCCGTCTGACGTCTTAGTCTGCTGCCATCCGAGTTGGACGATTCAGGTCCCCGCGAACTGCTGCACGTGGCTTCTGGATGGCAACTTGTAAAGTGGTTGTACGAGCAACAGAGCGGCTATGAAGAGGCCTAACATTTTACTCACAGGTAAAAGGGGGAAAAAAAAACAGCGAAAGGGTCCGTAAACAGAAGAGGAAGCGGGAAGCTGTTCCGGTTGGTATAGCTTTAGATCCAGCGCAGTCGCGCTTTCCAAAAAGAAGGAAACAAATCTCTGATTCAGTCTCACGCCAGGATAATAACACAGATTCCAATGCTGCCGCGATCAAAATCGATGATGGGGGTAGCAGAAATTAGCTTCATTTCTTCAGCAGAGCTGAACAAGCTTCTTGGATGAGAAGCGAAACGTATTTAAAGAAAACCCAGAAAGTCCAATTGCCTCTTGAAAAAAGCACTTTGGGACAACCACGACCTGGTTGACTGAGAATCTCCATAGATATTTAGCTTCATTTGCTTTGCGTTATGCTGGTATAGAGAAAGTTAGCTTCATTTGCTTTGCGTTACACTGGTAAAGCAACCAGCGTAATGCAAAGCAAATGAAGCTAACTTTTGCTATCCCATCATCGATTTTGATCGCGGCAGCATGGAGATCTGTGTTATTATCCTATCATGAGACTAAATAGGACATTTGTATTCAAAACGTGGGGAAACCCATTTCCTTCTCAAGAACAGCAGGTAAAAATTATCCTTTCCTGTAGTTGTTTTATTTGCGTTAAATTATATATAGGAGCATGCGATACGATTAATCGAAATACAATTACCTACTTTCAGTTGGAAGTGGAGGCATTACTCCATAAACATTAGCACCTCTTGCATGTGAAGGCCAAGACTAACCAGTGGAGCTTGTATAAATAAGCCTTTGTTCAAAGATGTGTGTGTGCGTGTGCTTGTGTGCATCTATGTATTTACATTTGTATATGCTAGGACTAAAGTGATCACATTTTTAGAAACCAAGAAGCACCAGTTGCAATAAATACCTTGTTTAGTCTTTCAGATCAATTTTGCAATGGAAGTTTATTATATATTAATATCTACTATTTTTCTTATTGTTTATTTATCCTTTATTGTAGGGACACCTGGTGTTGGGAAAACTACACTAGGCAAAGAGATAGCTCTGAAAACAGATTTTACATACATTAATGTGGGGGATATGGCTAAAGAAGGTAATTTTTAAATTTTTACAGTATCTACAATTTTATTAACATTTATATCCCAATTTTTCTGATGTACATGGATACATGCTATATCTAATTTAATAATATTTATAATTAGTTTAACTATTTATTTTAATAATAATGACATTCCAGAAGGATCTCTAAAGTGGAAGTCTGTACAGCAAATTAGAGAAAAAGCAAATATGAAAATCAACTGTACAATCAGTGGGAAAAAAATCAAACTGAAAAAATAATTCTTTTCCGAAAAACCAAGTGGATGCTATCTAATAGATGAAGGGAAGGTCTTCTATAATTCCAGAACAATGAATAACAAGTTCATTGTCTAAATAGTTGACTATTATAATTAAAATGATTTGATTATAGCTGTGGAATTCTGGGAGTTGAAATACATACTTCATGAAGTTGGCAAGTTTGAAGAACACTCATCTGGAACATACAATATGAAATTTCTGAGAATAAGCTGTCTAAATATAGATTCTTATCAATAATGGGTTTCCATTTTTTAAAAAGGGGAACTTTATGAAGGCTTTGATGAAGAATATGAATGCCCAATATTAGATGAAGATAGAGTGAGTTTAAACTGAAATATGAATTTCATTATTCAATCTTTGTAACTAAGAATCCATTGTTTAGATTTTTTTTTGCATTATTTTCTATATAGGTTATTGATGAAATGGAAGATAAGATGAAGGATGGAGGTGTCATAGTTGATTATCACAGCTGTGACTTCTTTCCTGAACGCTGGTTTAACATAGTATTTGTGCTTCGCACTGAAAACTCTTTTTTATACAACAGATTAGAAAACAGGTAGGTCAGTGATCCAAAATGAATAAAATTAGTTTTACATTAAAACAAACCTTATGAATGCATAATTCCAAGTTTCAATATTTTTACCTAAATAATTTAAATGTTTTATATTTTTATATTTTTCTAGAGGTTACAAAGGAAAAAAGCTTCAAGACAATATTCAGTGTGAAATCTTTCAGACAATTTATGAAGAAGCTATGTCATCCTATAAAGAAGAAATTGTACACCAGTTGCCTAGTAATACTCCAGAAGATATGGAACGGAATTTAGATCAAATTATACAGTGGATTGAACAGTGGATAAAAGACAACAACTGATTTTGAAATAATTATATTTATAGGGATAAATAGAAGTTGTGTTTTCATTCATTGAAGAAACTAATAGTTCATTCAAGATGAAAATTACTGAATTTTCTATTTTATGCTGTGTTCTTTAGACTCTGTGGAAGCAGGTATCAGACATTAAAGAGTTAAGAATTTAAAAATGAAATTATACTAAATTGGGTATCCAATATCCAATAATAAAAATATTTGAAAAGATGAAAAATAATAGTTCGTTAGTTAATATGGCTGCCAAAATCTTATTCCTGTACAAAGTGTTATTAACGCAGATCTTTTGTAATTCATTTCTAAATGTGGGACCATGCAATTTAATATATTAACATAATTTTGGTCATTATTTTATTAACATGGTGTGTATACCCAGGCAAATTTGTATCTATGTTTTTGTTATTTATAAGAGTTGTTGCGACTAAGTAAACTACTTTTTGCTCAGCTTATTTCTTCAGTTTAGAAGGCATCCTCAACCCCAGATTCATGAACTCATCTCTCTCTGAATAAATGCTGATGGCATTTTGCAAGATTTTTGAAATAAGTAAATAGGTAATATGTGGCCATAACAACAATGATCCAAGAAGTATCTGATGCGTGGTTCATAATATTACCAGAATTTATTATCCTATTTTTTCTAAATATTGAATAACTTGATAAAAAGTTATAGTGAAAAGATGAGAACATTGGTGAGGAACTGCATTTTGTCATGTAAAATATGAGAACATTGGTGAGGAACTGCATTTTGTCATGTAAAATATGCCTATATAAGGTACATAAAGTATATTTTTTTCTTTGCAGTTTCCAAAATTGATATTAAATGTATCAATAAATTACGATTTTAGTCCTAATCATATATCATTGGATTCTATTCAGAGTTTGAACAGAGGACTGTATTCAGATTCTCTTCTTTTTCCCCATCCAAGATCCAAAAGAGAATTTGAGCTTCAGGGATATACTCTTCTGCCTCTTGTACTATTAATGAAATAACTATTAGAAGCACAATTGCCTTCTGTTTTCTATCTTGGTTACATTCTGAAAATGGTTACCAATCCCCCTTAAATTGAATCAACATGAGATGGGTTTAAAATAGGGTCACACATACTTCCTTCTCCATTCCTAAACAGGGTCAATAATATTATTGTACAGTATTCCTATAATTGTAGTAATACAGGTCATAATTTAGCTACTACAGTTGTGATCATGATGAAACAGTAATCATGACCAGTTCTTAGACCTTTACTGGTCTATAAAGCAAACCAAAGCTGAAGTAAGTTGATAAGCATAGAAGTAGTTTCACTTTTGACTGCTTCATTTAATGAATGAGTTGTTGGTCCAATTGTGATCGCTAAATGAGAATTACTTGAAAAAAATATTTTTCAAAAAGTCTCATGAACCATAATTTTAGTCACTCTGCCTAGAGTATTACTGTACTTCATTTGTCTGAAACAAAAATTCTCAAAGTTACATTTTGTTAAACATTAAATATTTTTAGATTGCAACTGAACTGATTGAAAATAGTCACTTCTGTTAGGTACTATGTTCACGGTATCTGAAAAGCATGCTTGGCCAATTGCAAGATTCAATTTACCTTCTGTATATTAAGTATAGTGATTCTTGGAACCTTGTCTTTGTTACAAATATTGCAGCATTTAGGAATAATGTTTTGAGCAGTCAACAATTTGGATCATGCATCTTTTATTTAGTACTGTATTATATAGATTATTTTCAAAATAATTCTTGTAACATTTTTCTGTATGTAATTAAACAAATATTGAAATATGTTTTTTGAAAATAAAAGACAAAAGGCAAAGAATTAACTTTAATTTCCATCTCAGTGCAATTGGTTTGACTCAGTGGCTTACATAGTGCAATACAAATTTAAATTTATGATTTAATTTATAACTATGGCTTAATTACAAAATCATTATTTCATAGACATCTGCCTGAACCTGTATTATTTCTAATACTAGTATATTAGTTGAAATATGAAAATAATTTCAAGTATCCTATTAACTTAATTCAATCTAGAATTTAAGTTTGTAGCTTTGGTTATTGATTTCCCTGGTAGAAATCTGTTAAGGATTTTGCTCCTCCCCACCCCATCGGCAAAGAAAGCCTTGAATTCTTTTCTACAAACTATTTTAAAACTTATGCCATATAGCGGAAAATACAATAATTCGGTGCATGGTTTGTAGGAAAACTCCGGAGCATCTGAATGGAGTAGGAAAAAAATGTCGCTGTTTGTCATTGAGATAAATTGACCGGTTATTGGAGTCAGTAGAGTGGAGCCTAACAATACTCTTTAAGACAAGTTAGGGTTAGGGTTAGTATATAAAATTATACATTGCAATGCTACCTGTCAATGAATACTTCAGCTTCAACCATAACAATACAAGAGCACACAATAGATACAAACTTAAGGTTAACCACACCAAACTTGATTGCAGGAATTACGACTTCAGCAACAGTCAATGTCTGGAATACTCTCCCTGACTCTGTGGTTTCTTCCTCAAATCCCAAAAACTTTAACCTTAAGACTGTCTACTATTGACCTCACCCCTTTCCTAAGAGGTCTGTAGGGGGCGTGCATAAGCGCACCAACCTGCCTACTGTCCCTGTCCTATTGTTTCTTTTTATTTTTCTTATATGTATCCATTTCATCTATTCATAACTATGTTTATACTTTTACCTGTTATCCTATACTCGCTAGACAAAAATAAAAAATAAAATAAGTTCTTTTAAAGTTACCGCCTTCGCAGTCCATCAAACTGGAATAACTATTCGACCGTCGGACATTTGTTCATTTGTTTCCGTCTTCTGACGTGCTTTGTGGCAGAGGATTGACCCTGACTTCGTGAACAGGAACCTGCTTCCGCCTCTATTGGATCCGGCCAAGTAAGCCGCGCTCCACCTCAAAACGCGGAGGAGGAGGCGGCATTGCGGTCAAAAGCCGGGCGAAAGTTGACGGTCTGCCCTGCGGGAGGAGGAGGAGGAAGGGAGGGCCCTACTGGGCAAACCAGAATTTGGGCTGGCAAAGGAGGAAGTGGAGAGAGCCGTATCAGACAGGTGGGCGAGAGAGAGAGCTGGTTCTTCCCGCTGGATCCGACGCTTCGTGTGGGAGCCGCGACGGGTAGCTCCGGGGCGCCGCGATCGACGAGGGGGGAAGGAAGAAGGCGAAGACCACGTTGAGGCGGAAGCCCGGGGCTTTGGCTCTGTGGAAGCTTGCCGTCCTTTGGAAAAGGAAACTTGTGGGAGGCCTGCTAAGGGAGTTTGTGGAAGAGTTTGCGTATCGTGTTCTGGAGGCTTCAAATGCACTCGGGTCTGCATACCTTTCAGGAGCTTACTACTGGATTGGATTAGTGGGCGTTTGGCTGTCTTTGCCGACCAAGTAATCCAACAAGGAACAGGCTTAGTTCTGGTCATCGTGGAGGTAATGACAGAACTGCACCTGTTGAATGTTTGGTTGCAAGGTGCTTATAAGATACAGCGAAGCCCTGCTTCGAACAAATGAAGTGCTACTGTGCTTAACAAAGTTTAAAAATGGATATAGTATAAGAAGCAGAATGGGTGTACCTTACCGAAATGACAATATGATCAGAACTGATAATTTTTTCTAATAGTGGATTACTATAGTGGCCCATTAAATGTCAAAATGGATTTTATGTTATCCAGGAATAAAAGAAAAGACCCTGATAATGCATATAGAACAGTGAATGTGGCAATTTAATAAATTGTGGGTTATTGTTTGTGTAATGTATGAATATCTGTTAACCAATCAATACATATTTAATTGTGCTTAAAACTGCAAAGAATCAAACTTTCAGTGAAAGTTGTAAGAAGTAAGGGGTAATATGAAGAGGATGAATGCATGCATGCTGTTAATAATGGTTTTAGTTCCTGTAATGATTACTTATAGAAAAAGGATAGCTTTACTAAATTAAAGGGAAAGGGAAAAAGAGATTGTGTTTGAAACAGCACAGCACAGCAATCCAGGGCTGGAAGGGACCTCAGAGGTCATCTAGTCCAACTCCCAGCTGCAAGAGTTGATTGACTTTAAAAAAAAACCAGAAAAGTATTGAAAAGCATTGGATGTTTCTAGTTTGTAATTTAGGTCATAATGCTGACAGTAGTTTGATGATCAAATTTACTTTGTAGAAAAAATAAACACTTAAATGTAGAATTGGATGCTTTGTAGCATAATTAGATACTACATATAACTTGGTGCCCCTTCTACAATTAGTGACTCATTAAGAAAACCAATGCTTTGGTTTTTTTTCTGATTTAAGTAAACAAAGCACCTGGATGTGTTTATGCCAGCAAAGCCCAGTTTTATAGTGATAGACTTTTGTAATCTAAATTTGCAATCATTTTTGTTTTATATGCAGTAAAAAATGTTTTACATACCTAATAATTTTAAAACTGAAAGGTTTGAATGAAAGGAAATATGAATAAAAACATCTGTAAGCATGTTAGAACTAAACATCTGTAAGCATGTTAGAACTAAAAGCTGGGGGCATCTTAAATCTAAACACTATTCTACATTTTTGGGAACTTCTTTTTTAGTATACCTTTACCTGAAGATTTTAAGAAAGCGTGGAAGCCTGGAATAAGAAATCATTTGTATTGCCAATGTGTGAAGCAGGCCTAATGCATAACAAACTGTGTGATGCCTTAGAAGGTGAAGATGACATGATATATGGAGATTTGGGAAATGGATTTAAAAAACATAATGGTATAAATGAATCAGAAGGCTTCCACAAACATACAGTTAGGTCTAGAAGCGGTTCTGCAAGAAAAAGCTTGTCAAGTGATGGAGAAGAACACGATGCAGTATTTTTTCATTGTTCAAAATGTAACAGTTTGAATGACGTGCCAGTCAAAAAACTTGGAAGGAATGGATTTGCTCCCTCCAAACCACAGGCCAGTTCTGGTAAGTCTTAATAATGTTATTAAGTGATGAAAGTCTAAAGTTTCACAAAATTAATATTGGTAAATGTTTTGATCCTGAATGCAGTTATTAAATGCAGAAGTTCCATTTATTAGACCAACTTGATTAAAAATGATGACTGAAAGCTTAATTACAATCCTTCCAGATGTATATGTTCAAAGCAAAATAAATAATACAGTAGTTTCAAAAATAATTTTGACCTAGGTGTATGTTCTTCAAATGAAAGTTGGGCTCATATTGATGCTCTGATAGCTGGATTATAAATATTTGGGCTTGCCCTGTATCATTTTATATGTACACGGGAGTACATAAAGCAGTCTTATTTTGGCTAAAATACAATTAAATACTATTTCTGTTAATTTGAATTTTAATGAATTTGTACTTTAAAAGAGATAACTCTAGGAGAATTTTCCCACGGGAACATGTGGCTGGAACACACTGCTAAAACCATAGACAGACTTAAAGAGGCGAGGGGTAACAGTCCCTCTTTATAGACTCATGCAAATTTGAATATACAAGTAATTGCATAGAGCAGCAAAGTATTTGGATTTACAGTAGCAACATATTTGATTGGATGTAGTTAAACATGCATCTGCAGTAGTGAGGTCAATGAATCAATTAGGATGTAATTAGAAATAATGGTGCAGGAATACAAAGACAATACAAGTTTTGAAAAACAAAGAGGCAGTATTCTATGAACTCAATTTCTTTTTGAGGAGTTATTTTCTTTTGATTTTGCAGAGCTCTACATGCCTTTTTCAAGTTTATCACCATTTCTTGGCCCTGTAAATGTTTTATGTTGAGCTGACAATTTAGTTTCCCTGAGCTTTGGTAAGAAGTTTTCAGCGTGACTCCTCCAAGTTAACCTTCCTGGCAATGGATCATAAGAAAGGAAGTAGTAATTAAAAAAATGTAATAAAGTGATAAGGACTGGCATGTAAGTGGGCGGTTTTACTGACTCCACAAGTTAGATGCAAGTCTCCAATAAATATGGAAAATTTTGTAAATTCTAAGCACCCAGGAGTTAACACTGTCTATGTGTATCTATAAAGATAGATTTGGATGACACCTTGAGTAGAGTTTAATAGGCCCTCTGGACAATTACAGTGTTAGTCAAGGAAATAATTTTGCCTGATCCATAATTTGGAAATTCACATTTTCCTAGTACTGTACTCAGTATTTTCAGATTTTTGGAAAAATATTGTTTGCTTCTGCATGATAAATAGGGTTTTGTATGAACAGTAGTTGTGCAAATTTTACAGGCAGTAATTTTGAAACGCACTGACATTAAGCACTGCTTTTTAAATCTTAATATTTCTTTCAGGTTCAAAGGTAAAGAACTGACTGTTACGTTATTATTTTAATATTTAAATAAATCTAGGAATATTGGTCTCAAGCATTACAGTACATATGTCCTTTGGGTTTGATTTTAGTTTTGATTAACAATAATATTGCTGCCAGCAAATTTCATCAGTTATGATAAGTAAATATTGTTACCCTTTAAAGGCCTACTGTTATTTTATTATGTCTTTTTACTCAGATTTTTTTTCCTGCAATCTGAAATGATTAAGGAGAATTATGTTTTCCTTCCAATTACTAATTGTTGTCCACTTTAATAAAGATGCACAAACAGTTTGTTTTTTGTTGTAATTCAGAGTTCAATTCTGAGGCATCAAACGAAGAATTAAAACAACGTCTCCAAGAAATTTTAGAGGTAGGTTATTACTACTGTTAGACTTTTGAATGACACTATTTTCAATACAAGCACACAAATACACACAAATGCACGCATGCACACAGAGTATCATGTTTAGTTTTGGGGGTTTATTCTAGAAGCAAAAAATAGTTGTGTTTTATAAATTAATAATTACATTTTAACTATTTTTAAATTAAATGTTTAAATTAATTTAAAATATTCAGATGCCTCTAAAATGGTAGTTTCCTTTCCTTAGACATAAACAATATCTTTCTCTTCTCCCAGAAGTGAAAAAATAAAAACACAATACAGATGGTCTATAGAGTTCTGTAAGAAGTAGAAAATGAAAGTAATGGTTGCTATAAAGTTGAAAAGACAGTCATGATTTTATAATATATTAATTTAAATAGAGCTATTGTGTGTATTGTTATAATATATAGGTAGCAATACAGCATTGTGTGATAAGTGACTTGAAACAACAAGTTTGTTTCAAGCTGGCAATAGCTGGTGATGTATCTTCCTTATAGAAAAACATTCCTTTAATTTTCCTTCCACTTCCTCTGATAATTGAAACTCTCCCCAACTGCATTATAAAAGGAGTTACAGCATGGAAGTATCCCAGCTTATCTCGAGGTTGTTTATAGTTTCAAGCTGAATTCAAGTTTTTTTTCCATTTCAGCCTTTAATGACATGGAAGACCTCCTGTATTTCAAATATTATTTATTTACTTATTTATTGAATTTATATTGGTGGCCTACAAAGAATATTTTTGTGTAATAAAATGTAATAGATAAAATCATTTTTGAATATGGTTTCAGATTAGATTTATGGGTGCACCCAGGAACTGATCACTTTGGAGGACTACAGGAAACCATTTTGAGTTAATAGCACATATTGTCTAGTTAGATTTGTAGATTTGTTCTATTGAGGTTCTTTTTTGGACTTTTATGATTCTTGATTTTTATGGTTGCATTTGTGATTATAAGTAGGTTTTATATTATTGAGAGTAGTAATGTTTGCTGTAATAAAACTTTTAATTAATAATAAAAGTGTTAATATTTAATATGATTAATAAAAGTTAAATCCCACAATTAGAAGTAATTTCCACTAATGTAAGAGACTCCATAATTTATACCATGTTTTTATTAACCAAACTTTTTTCTTTCTTTCTAGGAAGTAGAAATTTTAAGAGTGGAATTAGAAGCATCTCAAAGACATCTTGAAGGCAAAGAACAAGCTTTAAAAATTCTGCAGAGCATGGTAAATTAAACAAAAGTTTAAATGTAACAGAGTAGTATTTACAACTAATATGTAATACAGTACATTAGAATTTATTTTCTTTATTTGAATATGAAACAGTAACATAATTGTGTATTATGTCAAAACTATATTAATGTAACTGTTATAGATACTATCCACTCATACTCATATACCTTTCATAAAGAAGTGGATTGTTTAATCTATGTCTAATTTGAGTCCTAAGGTTTTAAAACTTTCCCTCGGACAAAAAAATGTCACCCATAGGAGCGGGGACAGGAGTTCTCAATGTCAGCTTACAAACTCTTTTCCATTGTACCTTAGAAAAATTGCTATGAACACCCCAAGAGCCTGGGGTTGTTTTTGTTTTTTTGGTCTTAGTCTTTTATCAAACCTAATCAAGTTCTTGCAAAAACTAGAATTTTGGCAGAATACAATTTGAAAAACCCTGATGAGGCAACCTTTTGGAGATAGTGAAAACATCTGGAATTTTTGGAGCGTATCTTTGCTAATCTCAGAAATGACTGTCACAGAGAGTGATAGACAGACACAAAGCATACATTTACCAGAAAACAAATCAGTGTTCTCTCTAGTTTTTATTTTTTTTATACATTTGCACTTTTACAATCTCTGGCTTTCCCCCCCCCCCCCATGTGTTTGTGTTATTTTTTTATGGTAATTCTTTTTATTTCAAAGAAGAAGTTTATGTAGTGTATAATATTGTACTTGCAATAACATGTTTTGATTTTTTAAAATATATATTGTTTTATGGTAGAGCAACAGCTTTTTGTTGATTGTCTTAACTTATACGCACTGATTGCACATTTAAGACAATCTGATACTTGAATATTTCCAATTTTTGTTTTCTATATTTGTCAGGCTGTTTTGGACAAAGCTACCACTCATACTAAAGAAGTATTTATAAAATCAGAGCAACAAAAGCGAGCCTTAGAAAAGGTAAGAATGTATCTAATACTGTTCCTAAAAAGAAGAAAAACAGTAGAAATGTGGTATTGCATAAGACGGTAGCATTAAATTACAAACCAGTGGAGGTTAAGCATGCTTATGTCCATTTAATTTAGTGTGCTGGTATTTTTCTGTAGCCATTGACCTGCACCGAATGCTCTGATGTACTTTTCATGTTGTGTTTTTACATATTACAGCCCAGATCTTTGTATTTTATATACTTTGGTTAACCTATTACAAGCAGAGGATTCATCAATACATCTAGCTTACCACAGTCCTCTCCTCTGAATATTGCTGGATTCTATACGTCCTTTTTGGCTATAGTAGTGTTCTGACCCACGCCCTTTTTCAATAAATCAAGCACAATCCAAAAGAAACAGAAAACTTGTAATGCTTTTACAAAATAATTAGCTGTGATAAGCACAACTCTTGCCAAGCTGTGCAAGACTTGCCAAAAGATAACAGACAAGAAATAATTTGCAAAATAAGAATCTTCCACTACAAACTCAGGATACTGGAACATCCACGAGGCTGGAGTTTCAAAATGTCTTTGCCTTCTGCAAAGGTTAGTTTCACAGCTGGCTTTTATCTTCTTGAAGGAGGGGCCATCACCTTGGAACCTTACTTCCGAGTCGCCCGTGCTGTTGAAACTGCTCTTTCCTGCGAGCAATCCTGCGCTCACATGCACTTAGCACAGGCTCCTCAGGAACCTCCTCATCACTGCTGCCAGCCCCACAATCTCTGAAGGCAGCAGTCCGCTCCCTAATGGTCCTGGCCCCTCATCTGAGTCAACTCTCTCCTCAGCCGTCCACACCTGCTGCCGGCTAACCACAACAAGTAGTGAGAAAGACTGGACATCTTATTTGAGCAGACTAAAATTTCTTTTGGGGGCTTTGGAGATAGGAGTACAGATCTCATCAAAGAGGTCCCAGTGATAAATATTATCATTAAGGGATTCTGTAAAACTGTCAAATGTAAAAAAGGAAATTACGTGTATACAACTATATGAAAAAAAAATTGGGGGGGGAAGAATCCCTAGCAAGTTGACCAGCTGAAATCTAACAAACTCAGAAGAAACTGAGCTATGTATTGGCACATAGATAACAAGTATTGAACTGACTATGGTTGCAGGGGCCATGAATTCTCAGGTGAATATTGTTTGTCATCTAGATTAGAAGATTCTGAACTAAGTAAGATTTTCCAGCAATTGATGTGCAGTCTAACATCAGCCAGAAGCAATGATTACTAGGTTTAAATATGTCTGAAGTCTAGAATTCTTTGTTACAGGCTCATATTAAAAATGACAGTTGGAACACCAAAGCTGCATTGCCACATATTCAGGACAGCCGTTGGCAGTTGGGTTTCCTAGTGATAGATGAAACTGAGTAAGAGCTAAAAGGATGGCTATGAATACAGCAAGTGCCTAAAAGTGCATAGCTGTTGTATTACAATGTGAGGTCAGCAATGTTGATCATCCTGGCTACTGAAGTGAATAAAAGTGGGTTGTGGGAGCTGCCCTCAATGGGGTTTTCTCCTAAGTCAAAGACAGGGAGAAAGCACATTATTGTGGCTGTGAGAAAGTGTAGATAATTCTCTAAACTTGAAGATGCTCTTTTTTTCTCCAAGTAATGTACATGGTGACACAATTTAAGTTCTTACATCAGGGATTTGGTTTGTTAGTCCATGTAGTTAATTGACTGTATGACAATATAATACAGAGGATGCATTAGTTTTTTAATAGAAACAAAATATTGTTTTACTAAATATTTTTTGCCTTTTGTCATAATTAACTACGATTATTGAGGCAACATCCACATATGTTTGACACTACTTCGGAACCAGCTGTTCACTTATCAAACAAACTCAGTTTTGAGAGTAAAAACATTTTTTTCCTGGCTCTGCTGTAGTTTGTTTAAAACTGGAAGAAAACTACTGTTTTCTTTGCAGCATTCATCTCATCTTGTGGGTGATCTGTTTTCCTATTGGCAGGAACATTGACATCTGGACACCCATCAGTTTTTTGTTGTGCCTGCCTAAGTGCATTTCCTCACTTCCCCATTCTAGCCTTCACAGACGTATGCCAAGAAAATGAAGAGTTGCAAAATATGTAGCATACTATCATTTTACTATCACAGCTTATACGAGGCTTTGAAATGAAAGAGGAAGACCAATTTTGTGGTTGGAAGCTTTCATAGCAACTGCTCTGAACATTGTGCATACAACATGAATTACACAGGAAGAGAGAGGAATGCTATTTATTTATTTTAGTTCTTTTTTATAGAGTGTTGGATATGGGAGGATTTTTGTTACTGAAGAACTGGCGGCAAATTTGGCACCAATTTAATTATACTTTAGTGAGCCGAGGAGAACATGGTTGTATTGATCTCTGCAAATTCGCAGCATTTTCCAGTTGGCAGATGCAAAGATTACAGATTTAGATGAGAGGAAATGTCTGGATTCAGTAATTTTAATCTTATTGTATTGAATAATGTAATGTTATTAAGTAATTGTCAAAAAGTTTAAGTATTTTAAACAGCAATTTAGATTGCCTTAGGAATCATAATGGGAGAAAGTGAGCACATAATTAGAAAAACATAGATTTTGGGGGGAGGGGGAGTTTGTTCTGCCAGGCAATTGGCCATAGTAAAAACATTCCATACACCTACAAGGTCCCTTCCAACTCTGATTATCTGTTATCTTCCATTGTGCATTAATATTTTTTCTTGCAGAACAAAAACAGTATCGTGATCCTAAATAATACATATCTTAGATAAATGAACCCAATATCACTAACAATATAATGTTTAAAATTCTTTTATGTTTATAGGAAATAAATATTCTGCAGTGGGAGATCAAAATTAATCAGGAGAAATTAAAAAATATAGATGAGACCTGGGCAGAGAAATATGACAGGTAAATGAAAATATAGTCTTTTAATCAACCAGGCAGAAAGCATATTAAAGGTGTGACTGAAATGTGTTATTTCCCATGTCAACAGAATTTATTGTGAAAATGCTTCCTTTAAAGAAACACTTAAAATGAAAACTGAGGAAATTAAACTACTGAAGTCTGAAAATCAACGTAAGTAAGCTCTGCTTTTTCTGTTAGAATTAGATAGTAGCAGCGGTCAGGGGTGGGATTCAGTTTTTTTTAACAACCAGTTCTGCGGGCGTGGCTGAGTTGGTGGGCATGGCTTGGTGGTCAAGTGACTGGGTGGGCATGGCCAACTCAACATCACTTATGTCATGGGGCGCTTCTCCTCACCTGGCCTCTCATGATAGTGGGGATGCTGCAACGGTCATAAGTGTGAAAAATGGTCATAAGTCACTTTTTTCAGTGCCATTGTAACTTTGAATGGTCACTAAATGAACTGTTGCAAGTCAAGGTAATGACTGTTGTAAGTCATTACCTGTACAAAAATACAAAAAGCTTCTTTGCTTGCAAAAAGCTGCCCTAAATACCAATCATTAGATTAAAAATACCTCAAGCCAGAGTTACAAATCAGGCAGGGTGCCAGAGCACCTTGAGGAATGAAAATAGTTTAAATGCAGTGATAACTATCAAGCTGTTAAAGTGAAACCCAGAAAAAGCACACCCAGGAAAAGCAATCCTTAGATGCTTTAGCCCTACTTAAAGATACCAGCTGGTCTCACTCACCTCACAATATATCCTAATTGTCTAAGAATATCTAAGACAGAGCCCAGCTGCATTCTTGGAATGTAAAGATTATGTCTGGTGCTTTGTATGTTTTACTTATTTATATCAGAGGCAGTGAATATATTAATACTCTTTCCTGTTCCTGTTTTTTCCACAACATGCACCCTGTGGATTGAGTTGGGCTGAGAGAAAGTGACTGGCCCAAAGTTACCGTCTCAGTTTTTATGCTCAAAACTCACAGGCTCCTGGTTTCTAGCCTGGCACCTTAACCACTAGACCAAACTGACTTAGAGGAGGACCTTGAACATCTCCAATCATTAATCTTAGGTTATACTTTTATGCAGTACTTTCATAGTGTGCATTCATAATACTGCCTTTTATGGAAAAAGACTTAATAGAGCAATCTCTATATTCTTTCTATGATGTGCAGTCATAAAACAAACAATATTTCCCTCCTTATGTATTTTCATCCAGGTTTATATTTTCAAGGCAGAAAATTCAGCCTCGAGAGAAATTAAAGTTCTAATTTTTGGATTTATTTAGTCATGCAAGCTACAAATAATTTTTTTCAATTTTTTTCAGTTTTAGAGCAACAGCATTTGGAGATGGTGGCAATGCTTGATGTAAAACAGCAGAAGCTTGTTCAGGATAATATTTGTCTTAGCAAGAGTGGTGTTACTGAGGTTACAAGTCTAGAAGTATGTATTTTTAAATAATCTTATTTCTTTTGGCAAGATCTTATGGCTCATTCTAATGGTTCATTTTAAAAGCAAGAAATACCCATATTTATTTTGACACTAGACTTCAGTGCATAATGAATGGAGAAGCTAACAAGTGTGATTCTCTTTTCATCCATTATGAATAAGCGGACTTGTACACTAAGAGCATTGGGATCTTTTTATCTTCTCCCATGTGGCTGGTAGCAGAAAGATAAAGCTTTGATTAACTGAGATAATATTGTAGCATATGTATCAAGAATTGTCATCCAGATAATTGTTCAGCTATTGTTAATCAAAAACAGAAACCAGAAATCACTGAATTCCTCTTTTAAATTGTAAGAAGAATTGGTGAGGAAAAAATGGAACTGTTTAGTTTAGTTTACTTTATTGTCATTGCACCTCGTACAACGAAATCAAACAGTGCATATCATGATCATGAAAATAAACACACACACACATCCTTCACCCTCCATTGAACTGAAAACCCCTGACACTGCACCAATACTGCACTATACAGCAGAATTCAAAAGAGTTACTGCCCTGAGATAGAAGCTGTTTTTCAGCCTATTTGTGCTTTTTTTTATTATTCTGTACCATCTGCCAGATGGCAATAGTTCAAAAAAAGGGTGCCCAGGATGAGATGGATCTTTGAGAATGTTTTGAACTTTCTTAAGGCAACGGGAGCTATAAAGCTCTTCAAAGAGGGGAGAGGGCAGCCAATGATCCTCTGGGCACTGCCGTTAACCCTCTGGAGTGCTTTCCTATCTGCTACTGTGCAATTGGCAAACCATACAGAGGTGCAGTTAAGTTAACTGAATAATGTTACACCATATTTCAATAAGATGCTGCTCGGTATGAGCTGGAGTAACCAATATGAAGGTCTCTTCTGCAACAGAAAAACTTGCCAGGCATGAAAGAGCTCTTCTGAATGCAGTCTAATCTGATCATAAGGTGTCAGTCCATTTAAATAAAATTTAATATCCTATTTTAGAAAGCTGAGGAGGAAGGCAGGAATGCAGAACTAGGGTATTTTTGAGCAAGCACACTGATTAATTCATGCAAAGTCATGATAGAGAATTTGTATATCCTATTAAGCTCCAAATATGTGAACCAGCTGGTGTGTGTATTTGTCAATTTGATCTGGATTTTAAAATAACGGCTGGCATTCATTTGAATTGGAAGTTGGCAGTTCTTGGAGCCTGTGCTTGCAATGGCCCTGAAGGAGTTCCCTGTGCCTGTGCCAAGATGTCAGCAGCAACTCGAAAGCAACTTCTTCAACTCAAGCAAGAGGTATGAGAGCTTGGGTTAGAAGCATTCTTTTCCGAACATGTCATGTGGGGGAAAAATGTTAAATGTTCCTGTTGTAAAAATGTAATAGTTAGGCTGCTAATATGTCAGTATGTTTTCATTTGTTTTTAAACTTATTGACATACTTCAAACTTAAGTGGAATAGTTATATAAATAATGGCAGGTTTATGTATTTAAAAATATTTTTCAAATGCTATGTTTTATACAAAGTTGAGACTGATGGAGGGCAATTAACAGATTTCCATTCTTCTTACTAACACCTATCCTCCTTTTGTGCATCCACTTTTAGTCCTCTTTCAAACTAAAGGATACTTCCTGTTCAAACTTCTGTTTTTCCAGTCACCCAACAGAATTAGAATCAGTTAATACAGCCACAAATTATGCTAAAACACTTTCATCCACTCAGTCTCTTTGCCAAAAGAAGCCAGTTCAACTAGTTTTGTAGGAAATGTATCTACCATCTCAGCAATGAACTTGCTTAACTTTAATCCTTTTCAGAAGGTGGGCTGAGTGATACTGTCTGTTGGAAGTATAAAGACATTACAGAGATATAACACAGATATAGCAAAATCCTTGTTCCCCTAATAATGATCTTTGCTTTTCTACCTCTTAATTCCACCATGTTAAATGTTTTAGCTTTACATGGTCTGGTAATGTAACGAAACATACATATTCATCAACTCTAGCTTTACTAAGAAAATTAATTAGGAATCAACAGAGAATAGAACTGAAGATTGGAGTGCATAGAGTCTAGAGTTAGACATTAGTTAGATATAATAGGTAGCTAAGTGTTGAGTAGCCAAGCAAATTGTTCTGTTTTTGTCAAAGTTTTTTTTTCTAAATACATTGCCCAGGAAATGGCTCTTATTGGAGGATTAGTAACTAATATTCATATTTGTTTAAACTATACTATTCAAATTACAATATAAAAATGATTTGTTAAAATGACCTTGTGTCCTCTGTACTATCAACAGCTTTTGTTAAGTGTCATTTGGGGGACAGATTATACTCAAATGCTATGTGGATTTCTGCTTAAATTGAGGAAGCAATAATCTATTTTCAATAATCATAGATATGTGGACTTCATTCATATGATTTCATTCATATTTATATTCTAAAATTTATCTTAATTGAAAAAAAATAACAGTTTGAACTTATGAAGAAGAGTAAAGAAGAAGCTTATATAATGGCAGATGCCTTCAGAATAGCTTTTGAACAGCAGCTGATGCGGAGGAAGGATCAAGCTTTCAGGCTTGCCCAAATGAGTAAGATCTGCAGAAAAGAAACTAAAACAGTAAAGTGGAAAAGCAGCAAAGATGGTAATTCTTTCCATTATATATATATATATACATATATATTTCAGTGATACTGAAAATAATCCCTATTGGCCATATTGCTTAGCATTTAAAGTTTTATTGAAATCATTCATTATCCAAATGATCCATATAACTATCACCTTTTTTATTTCAATTTTCTTTAGGACAAAGACTACCAAGGCTATCTATATGTATTAGTGTTCACCTTACTGAACATAGCAATAAGGAGACATAGTCCTACCAAGAGAGATAGAGCTGACTGACATATGTAATAGTTTATTGATTGATTAGTCTTGTGACCTTATCAATAGAATAAATAAAATATAGTATATAATCTAATTCTGGAATAAGATAGGAGGAAATAGAGTGATAAACATGTTAATAGGAGTCAATAATCAGATAAATGAATGTCCCCAATTTGTTCAATGCATTGGGTTCTTAGGACCATTGTCTTATCTATAAACTTAGCAGTTCTGCGCACAATACAGTGGATATAAAAATCTACCCACTTGTTAAAATGCCATGCTTATTTTTATTTTTCTCTCTAAAAGATTTCAGTTTGTTTTTCAATTGAATTATACAGCCTGTAGATTATATTAAAGATGGAAAACATTCTGAAGAATTCTGAAAAATCTGATGTTTTTATCTCAAAACTTGGCATTTTAACAGGGTGTGTAGCCTTTTTATATCCACTTGTATGTATGTACATTTGAGCCCAGGAGGAAATACGACAATCTGTTTTTGATACCAGTTGGCTGTTCTTTCTGATAAGGGTGATAAACATTTAAGCCAAATGGGGCATATAATTAACAGTCAAACAAAATATGAGAAAATATTTTATGTGGCTAGGTTACCGCATATTCAGGTTTTCTCATAACATAGAAAGTGGTAAAAATGCCCGTATTAAGAGCATGGAGTCCAACAACTCAAATCTTGCTCTAGAATAGGCACTTCTTAAAATTTGAGAGTGTCATAGGTGTTTTTCAGGTTGAAAAATAGTTTTTATGTATTCTTAGCCAACCAACCTAGGGATCTATTTTTAGCCAATGATTCCATCTCAGTTTGAACACTAATATCTAGGACTCTTTGTTTAAAAATTACCTTGCCTGGGAGGCCATTGAGAGTAGATGCTGGATAGAAAACTCATGTTGTGAAATAATTTTTAAAAGTCGACTGACTCAGAAGTTGGGCTGAATCACACTTACCTGTTCTGTTAATGCATATTTAGAAAGTCTGTCGGAATCCATTGAATGGGTTCTCTACAGATCTATAAAGATTTTAATTATTAAATGGCTGTATAAGGAATGGATTCCTGTTTCTACTCTGACCACAGAGATAGGTGTGTTTTTGATTCACATATACATGTCATCTGATTATTTAGGGATATACTAAGGACTGATTTGATGGAGAAATATCTCAAATAGAATAGCATAGGTATAACTTACCACAAAAGGTAACAAATTAATTCACATAGCATGGCCAAACTGTAGATTAATTATCAGGGTGTGTCTCAGAATTATGAATGTCAGCTGTTGTTCTCTAGCATTAGTGTAGGTATAGTAGCCCTTTTTGCCTTGGATAGTTGCTACAATTTTTTGCTTAGTCCTGCTTAAACACTCCATTAGATATGGCAAGTGATTTCCTTTATAAGGCCCTAGTAGAAGTTTTTAAGTCTTTGTTTTGGATTGTGGATGTTAAAAAAATTAAATGGCACCCTACTCAAGTGACTCATAATTTCCTATTGGACTGATAATAGGATTGGGGATGTTTAAGAAAATAACATCTAGAGATGGAAAGATGGTGTACATAATTTAAATGACTTACAAAGGCTTCATCTAAGTCATTCTTAACTTGGTGATAGATTTCAAGCCTGCAAACTTAAATGAGGAAAAAAAAGGACACTTTTATTTTCACTAGTTTTTAATTGCAATGTAGTCAACAAAGAGTCTATAGATACCACCAGACTTTTAAAGGGGTTCATGGCACAAAAAGATTAAGAACCGGGATATAAATGATTGTTAAGATCGTGATTTCATCAATATAAGTTCTTCCTTATTCAATGCTTATTATATTTTAACTGCATTTAGTCACCTAGAGTCACATTGGTCAGATGGGCAGCCACAGAAGTATATAAATATATAGTTTTTAATATCTAGATTTTTTTCCCCTGTGATACCATATCTACCCCCATATTTTTTTTTCTTGTTTCAAGAAAAAAGAAAAAGCTTGGGAGAAAAGCTGATAGGCATGCTTGCTTCTGGTCCTGAGAGTAAGAAAATAGAAGAACTGGATAATCCACTGGAGATCATTAGGACACTAACAGACCTGGTTGGTATCTCTTACATGGTTTCAGTGTCTATATTAATAGTATTATATGCCTCTGAAGATAGGCGGACTGTTTGACAGCAATATTTATTTTTCTTTTTTTCTTTTTTTTTTGTTATAGCTGAACGATAAGGAGGAGATGTTGGCTCATCAAAGAAAGGTTAGTTATATGCTTGCTCGAACACTGGAAGATAAAGAAAATGCTTTGCAACGAAGGAAAGAAAGTACATTTTCAGAAGAAAAGGTTACTTTTAAGAACAGTCAGTACAAACAAGACTTAAATCCCCAAGAATGTATTTTTCCTGAATGTTCGTGTTGTCAGGATGGCTTTTCTTCGGTTCCCAATACAAACCCCAGCAGAACGCCAACTTCTCATTCCACAGGATCTAAAGAAAATAAACACCACAACTTCAAAGAGACAATGAATATGAAATAGGATACCGCTTTTTAGAAAAATGTAGATCTGTGTGTAAAAAATGACAACTTTCTTAACAGTTTGCTTCATAATTTAGGACTCTTAAATGCCATCTGTGCTCCACTGAACATAAGGAACTTTTAAAGGAGCACCTTTAAAGGACTCCTTCATAAATTCCACATCAGGAACACAGATAAACACAAATGCAAAAGCTGCTTATTGATGGAAAGCAGAAGGAAGAGCTGAAAATATGCAACGGTTTATGTATTTGTGGAATACCTGCAGTGAACTATAATTCAACCTTAATAGGGAAATTTTACAAGGCCATTTTACTGTTTAAGTAATTTACAATTTCTGGGTTGAAAATAATATATAATTTATTGTTGATGGATTGTATTCAGCAGTCTCTGTCTGTGAACAGAAGGCCTTATTACATTCTTCTAAAGATTTCCTCCAGTTTCTGATCTCACAGAATGCTTTGCTAGCAGAACCTACTAATCCCCATTCTCTTTTCTAGGCTGGCCTTTTTATTTAGTTAATTGTCAAGATTGTTTCCACAGGTTAGAAAACATTTTTTATTCATGTGTTCAATGTTTTGCATGCTATTTACTTTTCACCAGAGTACATTTTCTCTTTTTTTAAGACCTTTTGCTTTTTTTAAAAAAATAGCTTCTTTTATCAATGTTCTTCTTCACTGGCGGAGCACTAGAAAGAAGTTCTGCCTAAATCAAGGTTCATTCATTCCCTCTTAAATTGCCTCTCCTTGCTATTTTGTACCATGAAAATGGTACCTTTCACTTTCCAGATGCAGTTAGACTTCAAGTCCTGTCAACTTCAGACATCACAGGCTATATTTGTATGTGATGGAAATTAAGGGTTTCAGTTCCCCATCTTTTGATATATTTTATAGCTCAGGTTCCTTTTTAAGTATGAGGATTTGCATTAAAATCCAATCATTTACTAATTTCTCTGCCGCACTGAATGATTGCTGAGATGTTTTTTCCTTGGATAAATGTCTAGCTTATTGATTTTCATTTCTTCTAGACCACATTTTCATAAAATACAGATAGGAAAAATTGGTATCATATATCATCCTTTGTTCATGTAGATCAGGGGTATCAAACTCACGTCATGGTGGCGTCACGTGGCATATCGGGACTTTTTTCCCCTTCGCTAAACCGGGTGGGGGTGGGGCCAGCACGTGATGCATCTGACCCCCGGGCTGTGAATTTAACACCCCTGATGTAGATTGATCAAAAAGAGGACATAATGGGGTTCAATCAGATCTTCATAAAAAATAAATTGCCTTATGCATGTATATATTTGAAAGAATGATTTCATGATCAAACAAAACCTGTTGCCTTAGGAAATTGGAGGTCTTTTATACATTGATCCACATTGGTAGAAAATATTAAACAGTAGGTATGTTAGATTAGAACTACTTATGTATAAAAACACTGCATGTGACCATTTGTTCACCAGATCTCTTTAATCAGAAAGTTGAAGAACAGTAACTACCTTATACATGTGTGCACAATATAAATTAGTGTTGGGTTCACACTGACTATTAAGTGCATTCAGGCAAATGCTGCATATATAAGCGATTAGGTAAAGGTTTTTTTGCTGAGAATATCAATTTTATGGAAAAACAGTTATATGTATGTATGTGTGTGTGTGTGTGTGTGTGTGTGAGAGAGAGAGAGAGAGATTGGGTTCACATATTGCATTAAGCCGTGGTTCACTTTAGACATACTTTAGTCCAGTTTACAAGCCATAATAAAGGTTGAAATAACACACTAAGATACTGCCAGTTCATCTCAAACAGATATGTAAACCCAGCCTTTTTTGATCATCTTTGATTTTTTTTATTTGAAAGTCTTGCCTTTCAATAATTACATTGTATGTGTATATTGTCACAGTAATTTGATTGAATCTATACTGTAATTCTTAAATATTTTCTATAATTTGAACTATATAAATAACATTTTTTTTCTTTTTTTCTGTAAGATAAGCTATTAGAATGTTTTTGGAACAGTGGCCACATCTGAAAATTTTAGATTGTATTGTGGAAATTCTCATCAATTGTCAGTCTAGGGCAGAGGTGTCCAAACTTGGCAACTTTAAGACTTGTGGACTTCAACTCCCAGAATTGCAATTGCCCATTCACGAAATATTTTCGCTGACAAGCATGACCAAAAATGAATTCTGATATTCTATATCCTGTTTTATGATACTTCCTGTAGCCCTGAAAGCATTCACCTCATCTTACTCTTGAAACTCTATTTCAAAATAAAATGCTGGGCCATAGCAGCTAACATTTTAACTTTCAGTGAAAAAAGATCCTGAAAATGTAGTAACTTAAGTATAGCACAATATACCTCAACTTTCAATCCAATTGAAAATGAGGAACCTCTGAACTATAAAATTCCTTTTAGATGTAACAATCAGATCAAACCCAGCATTGGAAGAGTAATGATCTGACTTCACTGAGACTTGTGTTCCTAGACTAACAATTTTTTGGGCCTCTCTCTGTTAATTTCATCATATCTGAGAACAAACTTTTATCAGTAGCCTTTTCTGCTGAAAAATCAGTAAGATAAAGACTATTTCTTGGACAAATGATTCATTCCTAACTGAAGAATATTTAAATATTCTTCAGTTCTGAGTTCACACATTTATTTTAACAACATTAACTTTTGAAGTTTGAACTTCAGTAATAACTTTGCTACCTCTAAGTGAACATTATTTAGGACTCTGATTAGTGAACTTCTGAAATACTGACTACAGTATTATAAACATTTTTATCTGAACCACAGATATTTCAACTTGATTTGTGTGATTAATATGACTGGATATTTTAAAAGGCAACTGTCATATTAACCCAAAAACATTAGATATAATATGTATAGCAAGAAAAAGTTACTTTCACTTGTGCACTCCACAAAGTTTATTTTCAAACATATATTTCTTTGCATCAGTTTTATCCATGGTTAGGGAGTTACACTAGCACCATTATTAACCAGATAAATGGATAGAAATATGAAGTGGAACTGTAAAGCATTTCTTACTTAGATCTCTGAAAGGTGCTCTGGAGAACTCAGGAGTACAACATAGCACCTACATGCAACACCTTAAAGTAGTTGTATTTTTTCCCAAAATGATTCTTTCTCAACCTTTTTACCTTGGAGGGAGAAAAACCCTCTTTAACACCCAGACTTTCTCACTCACAGTTGAGATAAGATGACGGGGAAGTCATCAGGTCATGATAGAAAAGATGTTGACAGGACATCTTTGTGCTGTGGTTAGGCACAAAACAGAAAAAATAGAATATACGCAAATCACTACAAATCTATGGCTGGGCTCACACAACACCTTTATCTGTGGATGTCAAGCTTCATATACTATGAAAACCAAAAATAGCTACAAAGCCTGAGTTTGTCAGCAGTTTCTTTGACTACTAGTAGTCAAAAGTGCTTTACCACTGAAAATCTTCCTTTAGACTCGCTAATATTATGTAGCCCTACCACTTAGCAAACCTGGCCAGCTAGGGACTCTCATGTCGGCAAATTATTTGTGTTGTGTTTTGCAAAAACCTGTGGACTACACATTATGACACAACGTTATGTATTAAGTACCTCAGAAATTAGTAAAATACTTTGAACAAAGGCATTTTTCTATTTGCTTCATGCTCCAAGGTTCTGGGGACACTTTCCTGTTTATATGTCTATGGAGATTCTCAGTCATTCAGTTCATGGTTGTCCCAAAGGTGCTTCTTCAGAACTAAAAAAGCTTCTTGGGTGAGAAGTGAAACCTTTTCAAGGAAAAACATCTTCTTGAAAAAGCACCTTTGGCATTCCTTGTTTTTCTCAATAAAACTGCTTAGGAACCCTGGATGTGCTAACATTTTAGATTTAGGGAATGCACTCGTCTTTCTTCCCCTGCCAATCCGCGATGTTAGCCCATTTATTATTACAAATTGTAATTACCTGGAATACCGCTAATACCGAAGCTGGCAAATCAGGTCCAGAATTCCTTCCACCTGCTGAGTCTAAATCCCGGTTCCCAAAAAAGTTCGGGGAGCAAGGAAGGCAAATTTCATCCGCTCGTCCATCACGTCCACCACCTCAACCAGCGTCCGAAACGCAACTCCACACGGGAGCCCCGCCTCCCGCAATTAACACCCGAAACTCTCCCTAACACACCCTCCGGAGGGAGGGGGTGGCGGAGGCGGCTGGCGGAACGAAGAACTTCGCCTAGCAACTGCGCAGCCGCAGAGGAGTCCGTCCCGGAGATTGGTAGCAGACGTCTCCTTCGAGTGGGTGGTGGCCTGGCCGCCTTCCTGCGCGCTTGCGTGGGAAGGCCAGCAAGGAGAAGGAGCTGGTTTTCAGGAAAGACTAAAGTCTAGGAAAAGTGATGCCGATGCCTTCGCGCTCGGGGCTTGGAGAATGATTTCGCGCCGCCATCCAGGCGCGGAACTAGCCCGGATCCGGGGCTGCTCGGATTAAGTTCGGCTTCCGCGCAGACGGAAAGTAAGGAGGGGGCGTGTCCGGTTGAGGTGTCAGTCTTATGAGAGGCTCGCGCACCCCCCTTTGTGCCCTTCAGCCACCTTCGGGGGATGGGAGGAGGGAGGGAGATCCTGGGAATCTCTGAGGTGTTGCGGAGAGGGCTTGCGGGAGGGGTGGGGTGAAGGAGAAGTGGAAGAGACCCCGCGAAGCCTCTGCCTCCCGCCTGCTGGTATTTGTTTTTTTTTTTTTCCCCTGCCGCGAGCTGAGGCGAGGGTGGAACGGCCGCGGTGAGGAGAAAAAGCTGGTTGGTTGCAGAACCAAAAAGTGGGGCTGGAAAGCCGGGCCGGCTGTCCCGATCCTGCCTAACCTCGTCTCTAAACCCCTGTTTTCGCCTCTCTTCCCTCGAAGCGAACTCCGGTTCTTTGCCTTGTTTTTCTCGTCCTTTGCTTTTGCTTCCTCAATACAACTTCGTGGATATAAACCCGGACTTACTTTGCCCGGACTTACTTTGTGGGATTTCCCTCTGTCTATATATCTGCTTGAAAGCCGGACCCATTTGGACAGGTTAAAATAATAAATAAAATAAGGTTAAAATAACAGGATAACCTCTTCTTACATTTAAGAGCATTTTCTTCCTGCCAAGTAAAAAAAATAAGTATAATAATACATAAATCACTTTTCCCCAGTTTCAACTCACTATACGTTATGTTGATTGTGGATGATGTACTGTATTCCAGCAGAATCATGTTAGAACATCTGCCTGAAATGATGGTTGTATTACACATATACTGCACTTTTCGCTAGGTAGATTTTTCATAAAGATGCAAATACTGAGTCAAAACAACAAAAATTGTAATGCTTATAATGTGCTCTGCAAATAAATATTTTGTGGTGCGCTTTAGAGAGCCCTAATATTATGCCTAGAAAAAAGTACAAATACTTGGTTGTTTGGACTACAACGATTGGGAATATTTTATCCATTATAATAAATACATTACTGCAACTTTGTGTGATTTAGTTTTAGACAGGGATGAGGGGAGAGGGAAATTACAACAACTACCACTCAGAATGTGTTGTGCAATTATTTCATCTTTTTATAACATTGTGGGTTTATTGAGAAAGAAAAGCATGAGAACATGGCAGATTACAAATAGTCTGTAGCAATGTGTAACATTTGATAAATGAGATAAGACAATTCCTGGCTTAAAACTACTTTTTTAGAAGCATATTACCCAGGGCTTGACACAAAAAAACCAAGTTACAAAAATAGAAGAAAGTTATTTTAATGCCTCCAACTTGGCCCCATGTCCAACTATAGTCAGCTGGATATCAAACTCTTAAAACAGTTTACAGACGGAGTAAATGCAGTCTGCACCCAAGGTAAAGTTAATTTGAAATAAAAAACCCAACACACCACACTGAAGGAATTACTATGGCAGACAAGGATGATTAATTGCAGATTTTTACCAGATAATATAGCAACCACAGTTGGGAGGAAGCCAAAACACAGATAAGGTCTGACAAGAATACACGCTTTGCTTCCAGCAACTTTGCCATGCACATTTTGTCCTTTTAACCAGTCCTCCCAGCTGCAGCCTATGAAGGGGATCAAGGCCCCTTCTTTCCCCATAGACCACACCACTCACGGTTCTTCTTTATCTGTTCCACCCTGGGTCTTCCTCTGAATGCCCATCTGGCTTGTGCCCAGTTTCCTCCACAACCAATGGAGCCACACTCCCATTCCCTGTCAGCTGTTCCATCTGTCCCTCGAGTCAGACTCCAACAGGGGCATGACATTTGTATTTGGTATACTCTTAGATATAAATATAGTAAAAGACATACGGGCATCATTTCACCAAGACTATCAATAAATATTCTTTGAAGTTCTAAGTTCCTGCTTCTGCCAGCTGCTGATATCTGCTGCTGACCTGGATTGCTTTTTGTTTTGCCAGCTTCAGCGTCTTTTCCAATAATTCTTGCTCCTTAACTAATGTAATGAGCTTTTGACTTTATTTAGAATTGAATTTGAGATTAGAGAATTAAAGTCTGCTACTACTAGCCCTCTGACATATTCTTGGGGGAATTGTTTTCATCTCTTTTCTTTAGCCTTCAACAGAAAATATCTTGCCTTCCTGACTTGTAGCCCACCAAAGCTTATCATTAAAATACCTTGGTTTATTGACGTTTCTCAGTTTTCTCAGCAGTTTTAATATCTATGTAGTCAAGAAATTCTCATGATTCAGTCAACAAATGGAATTAAATACATACCACTTTCTTGGCTTAAATGATTTAATTGTTACATGTTTTGTCATAATTGTTGCTTTCTGATCATCGCACAATTTCTTTAATAGACACCCATGTTTTTAAAGGCTAGTCATGGTTTTTAAAGGCTAGTAATGGTTTGATTTGTAAAAGTCTTGGTATAATAAATAAAGCAAAAACCCCTGTTACTTTGGAAGTTCCTTGTCTTTTTTATTATTAGTTGATGTTAGCAGTGTGATCTTGGATTTTCTTGCCTCTTCTGAATCCAGATTGTAAGTCTAGCTTGGGTCATGTTTTGTTGAGGACTTGACTTCAAGCTCATACTTTCTACTAGCATCTAGCATTGTTCATAGTTTCAAAACTCTTTAGCCCTGCCCATTTTTGAAACTGGAATATCTTTTTCAGTCCCCGGTTATTGCTGTGTTTTTCAAATATGCTTACAAATCCCAAATACCACTTTAAAATATTACAAGATGATGTAATTAACAGTACAGCTCATATTTCATCATTGAATCCTTCAGCTTTTTGTTAGAATGTATTTAACTTTACTATCAAGAATAATTGGCTTTAGTTCAGTAATTAAAGAATTTTGGGTACCATCAACTTTTAAAATGGTTTAATATGTTTTTTTCTATTTGCACAATCTTTTTTATATTTTCTTTTTCCATTAGTTTCCTTTCTGCTTCATTTCATACATCAAGGTAGAAAAATTGTGTTATACTGGATATTACTTCATTTCTCCCAGTAGTATTCTGTCATTTGGAGGGTTGTATCTGAACACTGATTTTAATATTTTATTAATGATTATTAATGACTATTCTCTTTTTTCCATTATTTTCTTGTCTGGAGTAGAACATTTCATTCCACTCTCTTTTAGTCAGCTGATTAATGTGATTCATTTATATATATTAATCATATTGTTTAATATAAAACTTTCAGAATGGCTTGTTTAATCATGACAACATAGCAATATTTTCAGCTTTTTAGAACTTTATAAACAATATATTTTTGAAGAAAAGTTAAGTTGTTGCTCTCTTTTTACTCTAATGTTTTCAACTATTGGTGTTGTTTTCAATGTGTATTATTTTGAGTATACTGCTATCCTTTTCTGGAGTATGCTTATATAGTAGATGATAACTTTAAAATTGCTATCTATCCTGTTGCATATTGATCCATAATCTGTAAGAGGAAGACTGTTATTTAAAGCTATATAGTTTTAAAGATAAATAATATAAAATTGTATAATTTCAGGTATAACTAAATAGAAATAGCATAAATCCAATGGATTGGAATTCCTTAATAAAATGATACAAAATAAGTAGTTTACTTGAATAATTATTGAAAGATAGGAACTATCACTACAATGTATTGATAAGAATGGGCAGTGAATAGCCAGTGAAATAACCAGTTTTACTTTTTTCTCCTTTTCATATTCTGAATTTCATTGGGATGACAGAAGCATCATTTAGTGCAATTTTGGGGCACTGTTATATCTAGCTTATTTTAAAATATTAAATAACTTTCTTTAATGTAGGAATCACAATTACTTTAGAGAAACTGAATTCATAATTTAAAGTCTAGAACATTTTCAGGTCCAAAACTCAGTCTCCCATAGTGACTGAGATCCCAGTCATGCTAAACAAAGGTTACTTAATCATGTCTTATTGAACAAGGAAAAATTGCCAGGGTTCACACATTATAAAGTATAGTTCATGGATTTGCCAGCAGAATTAGCAGGGATTTGACCTTAGTTGTTACATTACATTTGACCAGAGTATTCCAGGCTTAGAACACTTGGAAGTTCCTGAAGTCCTGCCTTTTGAAAAGCAACAGGATAAAGGATTAGTATTTGCTATGTCCCTGTTTTGAGAGGAAATGGTATGAAAAAGTACAATTACTTTTGCTTATAATAGAAGGCAATATATTTATATAAGCTCAGATGTTTCTAAGAAATGCTATGATTTTTTTTGAGTACTAAAGCTAAGCTTTAGTCCTGATTTCCAAGTGTCCTTCCAGGCAGTTTGATTCAGCACTACAAGCAACTTATTTTTTATTAAGAGTCACTCTTAGGAATAAGGAATTGAGTTTAAGAATAATTTAGGTTAATTTGCATCATCTAGTAATCTATTTTTGCCTTAATTCATTTAATTGTTCCCTACAGGTACAACAGGTAAAAAGGGTTTGCTGATTAAATCTTAGAATGGACAATTATTTTAAAGCAGCTGTCTCTGATTTGGACAAATTACTCGATGAATTTGAACAGCACCCAGGTTGGTTCATTCTTTGTGACTTCTGTATTCATGTGAGCAACACGTATAAAAATAGATAAAAATATACTCTTATGGTATGTCACTTCACTGGGATATGTAGTGTTTTTCAGATAAAAGT